TATATTTGACTAAAACTATCATTGGAAATAAGGAGATTTTGTTTCACTCAATCGAATGGTAGTAATTTTGTCTTTATAGCATGCACCGAACCGGAGATATGAACCTTGCAAAGTCATAGAACGACACGTTAGTAGGAAGCTTATTAAAGATGCGCCAAATCTGAGACATGGCGCGACTAAAAAACAATCGCTAACTGATAAATGGGAGACTAGTTTTACTTTGTGTTTCTCGTATCCCTGACTTTGTTTACCAACAACAATTTTTATCCGTGAAGTGAAACTGTGATAATAGCGGCAGTTTTTCGTCACGTCCGCGTCGCAGATTTGGTAATATTAATGATACCACTAGAGACCTGACGAGATGCAGCTACAGATCAGCATCTTCCAATACAACATATTAACCAGGTATAAAATTCGTTCCAGATTCATCGGGCTGATTCTGTTGATTCTGTTGACATAATACTTTATAGAACTTAGAATATAAAAAGTTGAACACTTCAGCGAACAAAACATTCGAGCTGATTAAAACAGATAACTTAACAGACCATCAAGACTCGACTCCCTTGCGTGACGTCAGAATAAATGCTAGTGCCAGACTTCTGTCGCCGACGGCCATTAGCCAAAAATATTTGGATTCAAACGGCTCTAAAAATTTTTCGTTTTGATGAAATCGAAAAATTCTTTCGCTAGAACACTATACTAAATGAGTACTTTCAATAGACTGAAAAAAATTTTTGTGTCAGGGGCACTTTAATTATGCGGTTTAATTAGTTACACTCGTAATAAGGGCATTCTTCGCTACACTGTTCATAACTGCGATTAACGTAACTGGCAACCGTGTCGCTTAAAAGTATTTCGCTTCTCAGACAATTCCTTACTAAAGAAACACCAGTCCTGAAATAGTTTTAAATAAACGCGTATGTTTATAGAATTATAGTCGCATACAGAATTATCAGAATAAGCCAACTGATAATTGTATATTGAATATCTTATATTTCATTAAAAAATAAGTGAATGTTTAATCAATGTTTGTAAATCGGATAAAGATGCGGTCCAATGTTTATTTTTAAAAATACTTCGTCAATGAACTCATAAGATGGGTCGTTATTTAAGCACTTGTATATCAGATAAAGACCGACTGCTCATGTTTTAACTAGTACGTACTTAATAGGCCCAGTAAACTGTAACTATCAAATGGCATACAAATAATTTACGCGTTGCATATATGCCTGACAATTATACATTCAACGCACAATTCAAATGTCCATTGGACATATGCGTATCCCATTTTATCCCATACCTGTGTTAAAAGCGGCTTTCTGATTGGTTTAGAGCAGGTGAGCTTGTCGTCGAGCTCACCTGCTTTTTGCCGAACTCACCTGCTTTTCGCCCGAACTCACCCGCTAAACTGCTTACGTTGCAATAACAATAACAAATATGGCGGACAAGATTTAGCCGATAAACCTAAACTTTAAATTAAAGAAGTTTTTTCGGTGGCTAACATACCGACACTGAAGAAAAACCAAAGAAAAAATGCAGTAAAGGTAATGTAGACGTAGATAAAGAAGTATTTTCTTGCCCAGTGATTTTTTTGGCCGGGAAAATGTTCACAAAACATCGACGAATATATCGTGAAGAGCTACAAATGTGTGTATGGCTCGGTCAGCCTCGGTGTATGGGATAAAAACCAAACGTACTTGCAGGTTCGGTGAGTCCGGGATTGGACGCACCTCGGGTGGCTGGAAGTTTCCCGAACTCACCTCGCTTTGCTCGGTAAGTTCGGGAAACTTCCAGCCACCCTCGGTGCGTCCAATCCCGGACTCACCTCCCTGCAAGTACGTTTGTTATAGGATCCAATGAACAACTCTAATGTCCACTGGACATATCTATGTCCATTGGATCCAATGGACAATTGAAATGTCCATTGCACATACGCCTGTCCAATGGATCCATTGGATCCAATGGACCATTGGACATACTCCCTTTGCCATCTCACAGGCCTGCTGCCAGAATGGGGTCGATGTCAACCTATGACGTCATTCCTGTTAACTTATTTACCGCACTACCAAATGTCCACTGGACATATGCCTGTCCATTGGATCCAATGAACACAATCAAATGTCCACTGGACATATCTATGTCCATTGGATCCAATGGACAAGTGAAATGTCCATAGGACATATGCATGTCCAATGGATCCATTGGATCAAATGGACCATTGGACATCAAATGGACCACTTTTCCATCTCACAGGCCTGCTTACCTGCATGGGGTCGATGCCCACATATTACGTCATTCGAAATAACTTATTTACTGCACAACCAAATGTGCAGCGGACATATTCCTGTCCATTGGATCCAATGGACAAATCAAATGTCCACTGGACATATCTATGTCCATTGGATCCAATGGACAAGTGAAATGTCGATTGGACATGTGCCTGTCCAATGGATCCATTGGATCCAATGGACCATTGGACATACGACACGACAAGGGTGATTTTGTTCCCATAAAATCAGTGCTGGAAGAGGCCAGTAAGAATGACAACAGCCGGAATTTCAGTATTAGCGAAAGATTGGTCGGAGTTGGAATCAATAATATATGGGGTGATAAAGTAAAAAAAGTTTGTTCTTCTTCAAACACGGGATCTGGATACCGAAATCTTAGAAAGCGTTGTGTTTTCCGGAAGAGGAGGAAATTCGAATACTTGACAATGAAACTGTGACAAGATTAGAAGTGTTGTAGTCGAAGCATGAATGATGGATCGTAGATTTTTCCAATGAAAGTCAATTCTCTTTGCTTAATGTTCCGTTGTCACAAGTAGGAACAGCTGTGGATGGTCGGCGTCTGGTATGCGAAATAACTGGTAACTTGGATCAGTCAAATATTACTCTACGTACACACGGACAGCCAGTATTACTCAACGAATTATGTCATCTAACCTATTATAACCTTGAAACAATTATTCAACGTCACTCTGCTTGGGTACTGTAATAGTTGCAGGCAACGATGAAGGGAGTATGAAGTACTTGAAAGATCCTGTAGCTGGCTCAATGATCGTCAATATCAAAACGAATGATGGAAAGGAAGAAACAAGATTAATTGCAACATCGTGTTTGTTAATAACGTCAGGGACTCGGGCGTGCAGAAACTGCACGTATGCTGCAAAGCTTTGGCACAACCGCGAAACCAAGAGAAACGCGAAGGGTGGAAGTCTGCACAAGAAATGCAATGTTTGTTTTCTGGCAAGAGGTGGATTAGAAGAAAAGGTGTGCAAGCAGAGAAAAGAGATACGGAGTGATAGTGTGAGAGAGAAGAGAGCAATGGACGAAATGATCGAATTTTCCGAAAGTGACTGTGTGAATGTGAGGAAAATAGTGGATAACGTTGACAGCAAAGACGTCCCAGAAGACATGGCACTTCTATGGGAAATGCAGAGAAAGCAGTTAGCTTCGAAATCTCCAGCTGGTTATCGATGGCATCCAAGGTAGGTATACTTATAATTATATGCATTAGAAAATAAGTGCCTTAAATGTGCTTAGAATCAGCGCAGGGTTTCACTGATTAAGATCGACGTTATCCCGTAAAAGTTACACTTGTAATTTTTTTAGAATTGTGAGGTTTGCACTGGATATCTACTGCAAGAGTCCCAAATCAGTTGACGCAATGCGGGAATTTGTGATACTACCAAGCAATCGTCTTATAAGGTAAATTATCACTGCACTAAATATATTTTATATTATACGGGGTATGATTGATTATGATTATGAAAAGAATCAGAAGGCCTATTCTGACGCATATTTCTAACATAAATCCTTGACAAGTTTTTACATAGTCATTGGTCACATGAATGCAGATGTGCATGTGAAGCATTAGAGTGGATTATCATGTTACAAAAACAACTAATTATAAACTCTCTTAAATATCCTGTGTCTTATATTGTAGATACTACAAGAACTGTGTAAGCCAGCAAGCCAGCAACCAGGATGGAACACAGAAACGATTGAATGGTGCCGAAAGGAAGCCGAGCGAAAAAAACCTCAAGTCTGCAGACTATTGGGGAGGTCTGGTTGTCGGTGAGATGAAAATACAGGTATACTGTATGGGTGAACAGGACAGTATAATTTTCTATGTTATACATTAGAGATAGCGTTAATAATTTTCGTTTGTTTCCATAGGAGGATTTACAAATGACAGTGCAAGGAGGCAAGCATTACCCTGGGTGCCAGAGGTTCTTCCACGCTCTTAGGGGGGATAATGAGGGATACACGAGGATTCAAGCTGGGCGGCGGCGAGCGTGAAGAACCTCTGGAACACTTCTATGGTTTCTCAGATCGAGCCGTACCAATCACGATGCTTTAATAGTGTGAAGTGATCCAGAATCTGGATCACAGTGTTAATTGGTTAACGGCAGGGACTTGTTAAAACAATGACGTTCATTGGCTGTTTGAACCGTATGTCCTTCAAGATATTATCGCTCAGAATCCATACAGGCATACGCTGTTGTTTAATATAATATTATATTTATAACATAGTCAGGCGTAATTAAATATATATGCCTCTAGTTTTGCGAGTCTTGAGAGAGGATTTCAACAACTCGGTCGCGGTTAATTCGATTTTGAATTTTTTTACTGGACGGTGTTACAAAACTCAATAAACATCAAGATGATGCCTTGTTTCTGTGTTTCAGACTTGAATCAGTTATTGCATCGCCGTGATATATATGTTTGCTATATTGCCAAGAGGGAATTTCGTGTGCGTGTCTGTCTAGTAATCAAGCATGTCAAGACAAGATGGGAGTCTTTATAGGCCTATTTATATCGAGGCGAATTACCCGGCAAGTCGAGTTTATACTCGTCAACGACAAGATCCCGGCTATATATTATAGAAACTTATATAGTAGTAAACCCGGGGGACTGTTTACATGACGATGCAGCTGAGTAAAAACTCGCCAGTGACGAGTTCCCGGCAGAAAGAGGCGAGATATTGCCTTTGGCGAGATGAATAGTTACCATGCATATTAAACAAACGATGTTCGGGTATTTGTTAACTCGGCCGCCCGAGATCGAAATTATGTATGTGTATATAAAATGTATGTGCTTTGCATTTGAAATACAATATATTGTTCAAAAATACATACGAATCATTAGGTAAGTTTTGTTCGCCAATTGCAGAGTAACTCGCCTCCATATAAACAGGGCCTTGGACGGCAAATATTCGTTTGTATTATGATGAACAAGAAATGCTTCAAAGTTCAATCTACCGAGGCGACGATCCTTTTACTGTATATACTAAAATACCCACTGTGAATAACAAATTCACCACAAACTCGACAATACTTTAACAGGTGTACGGTCTAATGTGGCCACATAATATTATTCGGTTTATTTGACTATAAAGACTCGCTATTTTTTTTGTTTTGTTTTGAAATTGACACATTCTGTCGCAATTTCCATCCCTCCAATGTTCGGTTGAACACGCCCAAATCATCATCAGTCAAAAATAACTACGTGTCCTATTGGCTAACGTTTGATTGACATGTGACAGTGAAAACAGTAAAAGCCATAGAAGTGTTCCAGAGGTTCTTCCCGCTCGCCTCCCGCCCAGCTCGAATCCTCGTGTATCCCTCATTATCCGCCTACGAGCGTGGAAGAACCTCTGGCACCCAGGGTAGGCAAGCATCAGCTTTCGTACAAACATGACCGGACTATTTTTACATATTTCGTACAAATATGTAAATTCCGTCCTTATTTTGAAGAGTCAGGTCATATTTGTACCAAATTCTGCGCTGTATTGCAACCAAGGCAACCTTTGGAAAATTCACCAGCAGTGCTTCACCATTCGGGTCAACGCCAACAAATTCACCGCAGGTTCCATTTCGTAACTGTTGACTGACATTGTATAAGAGCATGACTCGACATCCTGGTTTTAGATGGAGAACTGCGCTTATGGTTCTGTCGAGCGATTTGGCAAATCCTGTGTCTGAGCTTTTGAACGTTAACTTTGGGCCGGAAAGAGAAGCTAAGATATTTGCATTACGCACTTCGACAGGAAGCCTCTTGAAATATATATGTGTTAACGATGTTGGTAGACTGTCAGAAATGGAAGGAAACTCTCTAGATAAATTGGAAAAATAGCGCTCAGTTTCGTCGTCGCACTTGCCACTTCTTATCATATTCAAAGCTTCTTTGAACTTCACTTCCGATTCCTCTTGCCGTAAAATTTTGGTTAGCTCAAATGCTCAAATCTATGCGGAAACACTTCTCCGAACAACTCTGATTCATACACTGGGTCTCCATTATCTACCACACTCTTAATTGGTTTTAGTTGCCAGAAATCTCCGACCAATATGACTTGAAGCCCGCCAAATGGAAAGGGGAACTTATATTCTGGCAATTCAGCCGTTTGCAATCCGAAGTGAGAGTGGACAGTTTTCGCCAACCCATTGTACTCTTCGCAAGCTATTCCACTTGCACAAACAATCTGGCATTTCTTTCCTTCTTCAGTCAACTTTGATCTGATCTTTTGTACCATCGTAGTTTTTCCAACGCCAGCGAACAGCCAAATATGCAAACGTTGTGGCCAGTTGTGGCAAAATTTAAAATATTCAGTTGCTCCGATGTTAATTTTGTGTATGCCATGTTACTCTTAGCTTATTACCTTCAAATGAATAAAAAGTTACTTTACTTATTGACTATAAAATTAAGCTGCAGTATGACGTCTTTGAAGCTCTCCTAGTAAAACTAATTCATATAGATTGGGATCAAATGTTGTTCAGAAAAGGTGTTAGCCAGTTATACAGGGTGTATAAAAAAAACTGAACAGATTTGAAATTGCTCTCAATTTCGCAAAACACCTATTTGTATCCAGTTTTTTTATATATATAGCTTCTTTGGGTACTTATAATGTAGAATAATGAAAAAAATTTCTCGAACTCAAATTTTGTGAACCAGGGGGGTGTGTCTTTTCCAACAAATTAAAAATGGCTCGCGCACAAAATTTAAAAGCTGTAATCATAATAGGTGGAAACTTTGTCGGGTTTTTAATTACTGTACAAAATTTCAGACAATTTGGTTTAGTTTAAGCCCTTTAACTATTCATTTTGTTCTAAAAAATCAGCCTTTCGCATGCTTAATTAATGCCTTTACCTAATTTGCATATTGCTGACATATGCAAATTAGGCAAATGCATTAATTAAGCATGCAAATAGCTGATTTTTAGGAAAAATGTAACTTTGCGTGAATAGTTAAGGGGCTTAAACTAAACCAAATTGTCTGAAATTTTGTACAGTAATTAAAATCCCGACAAATTGTCCATCTGTTAACTCAAAATATGATTGCAGCTTTTAAATTTTGTGCGCGAGCCATTTTTAGTTTGTTGGAAAAGACACACACCCCTGGTTCACAAAATTTGAGTTCGAGAAATTTTTTTCATTATTCCACATTATAAGTACCCAAAGAAGCTATATATATAAAAAACTGGATACAAATAGGTGTTTTGCGAAATTGAGAGCAATTTCAAATCTGTTCAGTTTTTTTTTATACACCCTGTAGTATTACGGATAGGGATTTTGTCTGTTAACTTTCAAAAAATTATAATTCAAGCAACGCGCTTTTAGTGTATGCCTTGTACGTGTTGATACTTTAACTATCGCAAGCTGATCATTTTTTTAAGCTCGCGCTCTCGGACATGCGCAATCGAAATTCAAAAACGAACACGCTGTCGTACGAGTTATGGAAGTTTATGTTTCAAGTTTGTCGTTCTGAAATGATTTTCTTTTCAAGTTATTTAAGCGATCAGGATCCTGTTTGGCAGAATACAATGTTAAGCTGTTTAAGCTTCTTGTAGTATAGCATAAAGTTTGTTTTTTCATGGGGTTTTTTAGCAAAATAACTTAACTTGACCTCATGAGCTTTTACTGACTATTCTAATCTTTTGGGGCCTTTTGTATATACAAAATTTTGATTACTCGTATGCAAATTAACAATAAACTCGTTTTTAAGTTGTTTTAAACAATCTAGCTTACGTTTTGGAAACATATTGTTTGAAAAATAGCTGTTTTCGAAAGAAATACTTCAGGCGACAAAATGTTTTAATAAGTGTGCAAGGAAAAAGTTTATTTTTTAAAAAAGGATCCATATGATTCATGATTTAACTGATGTTTTTTCAAGGTAACGATTTGATGGTTTCCTGAAATTGTAATGGGAACATTTGAGGAATAAACACCGGCTGTGCTTTTCGCATGCGTATTAAAATGGATTGGTATTAAATCAGTTTCCACATGTGTCAAGGATGAAGGGAGATCACGCCTTATAAGTATAGTTGGCGTTTTACTTGACCTGTCTTTTTCTCTGGATAGTCTTCTCGACAAGTCTTTGGAAAGCTGAAACTATAGTTTGCAGGGGACGTTAATTTATAATGGTCTGACACGAAACTCTTACAAGCGAGGTTAGCAAACAATATATTTTTTCTAATGAGTTTTGTCAGTCAGTCAAATTGCGAATTGCGGCTGCGTATATATATATATATATATATATATATATATATATAACCACAACAGTCTGTTTCATCCGTATAGGAATTCATCAGGTGTATATATATATATATATATATATATATATATATATATATATATATATATATATATATATACTACACATTATGCCTAAGCCTTTATGCGCACGCTCACTGCATTTCACAGTTTAAAAACGGCGATAAAGCACATAAGTAAAGACATTGTAGCGCCCTTCAAGGAAAGCTCAAACAACGGCAACTGTGGACAGCTGTTTCGACCTTTTTGGGGCTCATCAGCACAGTGCACCGATGATGAGCTTCCACATACCAAGAATATATATACTATAGAAGACAGTGTGGTGGATGTGGGACACTACAGAACTTTATATACTACACATTATGCCTAAGCCTTTATGCGCACGCTCACTGCATTTCACAGTTTAAAAACGGCGATAAAGCACATAAGTAAAGACATTGTAGCGCCCTTCAAGGAAAGCTCAAACAACGGCAACTGTGGACAGCTGTTTCATATATATACATACATACATACATACATACATATATATATATATATATATATATATATATATATATATATATATATATATATATATATATATATATATATATATATTTGTGTGTCCCACATCCGCATCCTACTTTGTCGTCATATAAATATCTGGATGTGCAGCTTGTCCATTAGCTACACTGTGCTGACGAGCCCCAAAAGGGCGAAACAGCTGTCCACAGTTGCTAATGTGAGCAGGACACACTGTCATAGTCCGTTCATGGCTCTTTACGCTGCTTTCAAACTACGACATGTAGTACGCATGCGTATTCGAGATATGACTTACTTTGTCACTTATATATATATATATATATATATATATATATATATATATATATATATATATATATATATACTATAGAAGACAGTGTGGTGGATGTGGGACACTACAGAACTTTGTCGTCCTACCACAGAAGAGATAAGGGCAGAAGGTTCACTCAAGGGTAAAAAGTGTGCCAGAATGTCAGCCGACTTCCGGTGTGGCCGCCATGTTGAAAGCAACCAAACGAGAGGAAATTTTATAGGAGTTAATATGGCGGAATACGAAATAGAGCCACTAAAAGTGCTCTAGCTTTTTATGTATCCAAGCAAAACTCATGATACTTTGAAATATCATAAAGAAGAGGTTGTTCTTTGATTTAATTGTCACTATGAGGATGAGAAACGAATTTAAGCGTGGAATTTGGCCATTGTCATACATCGATTAATTTCACCTCGGTCTTTGGCGAATAGTGATAAACATATAAAGTTATATAGCTTATGTGTGGTTAGTCCGATCGCCGTAAAATATGTTTTGAGTGATAGGATGGTGATATTTCATGGTCTACAAAAGGATTAAGGACGTGAATGCCATGAACAATGAAGGAAATACATCGAGTTCATCGAACCTTCTGTGAATCTGGGATCACCTATTCAATACAGTGTAATTCAACTTGGCATATTGGCCTACAATTGTTTAATATAAAATAATATTGCGATATGAAAGAAATTGCTGGACCTACTTCTTCTTCAAAAATGAATTTTGGGGATAATATATTGACTTGAACCTATTGAAATCCTTTGGCTGTGACTTTACAAATTTGGTATCACAAGTGACAAGGCCTCCTATGACATTATCATGACTGTTCATTGATATTGGAAAAATAGTTTAAAGATCAATGCTTGGATGAATCAGGGAACTTCATTTACAAAACAGACAATAAGAGACCTGATTTATCTTAACGACAGTTTAAATTATAAATCTGTGAGATTCTAATATACACTCTAGTTTTAAGATACATATTAACAGTTTACTCTACAATGAGGGGAAAATAATCTGAATATGAGAATTTTCTCTGTTACTCAAGTTTATGTTACATTTAGCACCAAGTATATTATTGTTGCTATCACCTTAGGGGCTGTTTACATGAGCCCAGCTAGCCATGCAGGCTGGCCCGGTTAACCAGGCTGAAGGCCTGGCTAGCCAGGAGGTTACCTGAGCTGGTGACTTTACATGGAGAAATTTCAGCCCGGTTATCCGGGCATCCCCTTTGACTCAAGTGAGATCTCGGCTAGGCAATGAAACTTTAACATCTAGCGTATTCTACCATGTACAAGTTGTACACAACCCCAAAAATGTAAACAACACTTTGATTTGATTTTAGTTCCATAAATCCATATTTTTTATCCATATTATCAATCCATATTTAATTTAATTTTAGTTCCATAAATCCATATAATTTAGTTCCATAAATTTGAGTTTAGACCATAAATCTATTAAGATCTGCAACTGTCCTACATGCACAAATGCCATCCAATGTAATGACCTAGATGATAACAGGAAGCAGTTTTGTTTCTTTAAGGCCTTTGATCAAGCAGAAAACACATTTGAAGGTCTTCATGTTCCAACAAATTGCTTTCTGGCCTACATCATGAAAGATAAAAAAATTGTTTTTGAGGTTGTGCATTTACTACAGCTTGAAATTTGCCAATCGTGAACTTTCCAACACTAAAAAGAAGAACAGAAAATATTTGAAGGTAGCACATCTTTAACCA